GATGACTAAAATCAAAAAGCTAGATAATAACAAGTGTTGACAAGGAACGGAGACACTGAAACCCACGTGCTCTGTGGTTGGGAATGTAAAAAGTAGTGCAGCCACTTTGGAAAAAAAAGTTGGTAGCTCCTTAAAAGATTAAAGGAGAGTTACCATGTGACTCAACAATCCACTCGTAGATATATGTTGTTGTTGTTGTTGTTGTTAAGTACCATTGAGTCGATTCCGATTCGCAGAGACCCTGTGTAAGATTTCTGAAGAAATAGAAAAGAAAGCAGCTCGTGGGTTTGAACCGCTGACCTTGTGGTTAGCAGTCCAGCACGTATCCTATAGCACCACACTAGGACTCCTAGATATATGCATAAGAGAAATGAAAACATGTTCACATACAAGCTTACACACAAATATTTATAGCAGCATCATAATAGACAAAAGATAAAAACATCCAAATGTCCATCAACTGATAAATGGCCAAAATAAATGTGATGTGGCATTGTAGGCTAAGTACTCAACCACAAGGGCGGTTTGAACCACAAGGTTGGTTGTTCAAACTCACCAGTCACTCGTCAGAAGCTGTAGACAGGGTCGCTATGAGTGAGAATCGACTCAACAGCACTTAACAACAACAACAACATACCCATACGTTAGAATCCTAATCAGCCATCAAAAGGAATGAACTGCAGCTATGATGGGGATAAACTTTAAAAGTATTATGCTGAGTGCAAGAAGCCAGTCACAATAGACTAACATATCATGATTCCAGTTAAATGAAATGTCCAGAACAGGCAAATCCGTAGAGACAGAAAATAGGTTAGTGATTGCTTGGGAATGAAAGGGACGGGAGAATGTGGGGAGTTATTTCTTTTGCAGATGATGAAAAAATCTAGATTGTGTTGATGTTTGCACATTTCTGTGAACATAGCATATGTGTGTGTGTATATAATATTGAATTGTATACTTTCCAAGGGTAAATTGTATGGCATATCAATTATATCTCAATAAAGCTGTTATTGGGGGGGGGGGGGACTAAATTGCTGGGGCTGGATTGCAAGGATCTGTCCTTTGTCCTAAAGCATGCTTGGTGCACTCACATATCAGCCTATAGATTGGTTGTTTATGTACTGTTCATGGTTACTGTCTGTCTTACCCCTAGTTCCAGAAAAGCAAGACTTTGTCTGTCTTGCTAATCGCTGTGTTCCCATCACCTAGTCCTGTCCTGACTAGGCTCTCAGTAACCATTTCTTGAATGTATAAATAAATGAATTAATTACTGGGAAAAGAGCTCTGGTAGCGTAGTGGTTACCAGTTGGGCTGCTAACCTCATGGCCAGCAGTTCAAAACTACCAGCAGTTCTGCGGGAGAAAGATGAGGCTTTCTGCTCCCATAAAGATTTACAGCCTTGGAAACCCTGCAAAGGGTCACTATGGGTCGGAACCAACTCCACGGCACTTAATAACAACAACAACAAGGGTATCTCTGCCTTACCCAACTGAGATGTGCCCAACAGAGTCAACTTTTTGCTGTTGAGAACCTACTATTTGCTACAAACTTAACATTAATTTTCTCCCTCTTAAACTGTAAGGCTGGTGTGGTGCTATAGGCTAATGCATCAGACTGCAAAGTTGTTTGAACCACAAGATCAGTGGTTCAAGCTCACCAGCTGTTCCTTGAAAACCCTATACAGGGTCGCTATGGGTCAGAATTGACTCAATGGCACTTAACAACAACAAACTGTAAGGGCTATGGAGCTGGAATTTAGTCTATTGTTGCTCCGCATCTACACAGTGCCTGGCACATAGTAGGTACACACTGAACATTTGAGGAATTAATGCATTGAAGCAAAGGTTATTGTAGTTATTCACTCAACAAACACTCACTGAGCATCTACATGGATGGAGCAAGGCTACACCATGGTATCCTCAAGGCATCCTTGTTTAACAAATGAGGAGATTGAGGCTCAGAGATAGGGTTGTTGTTGTTGTTGTTAAGTGCTGTTGAGTCAGTTCCAACCTACAGCAACCCTGCATAGGGTTTCCAAGGAGTGACTGGTGAGCTTGAACCACCGACCTTGCAGTTCAAATGGCTTTGCAGTCTGGCGCATTAGCCCACAGCGCCACACCAGGACTCCCAGAGATAGGGTTGTTGTTGTTATTAAGTACCGTGGAGTCGGTTCCGACTCATAGTGACCCTGTACAGGGTTTCCGAGGCTGTAAATCTTAACAGGAGCAGAACGCCTCATCTTTCTCCCGTGGAGCAGCTGGTACTTTCCAGCTGCCGATCTTGAGGTTAGCAGCCCGATTTGTAACCACTTCGCTACCAGAGCTCCTTAGAGATAGGGTGGTGGTTGTTATGTACCGTGGAGTCAGTTCCAACTCATAGCGACCCTGTATAGGGTTTCCGAGGAGTGACTGGTGAGCTTGAACTGCTGACCTTGCAGTTCAAACGGCTTTGCAGTCTGGCACATTAACCCACAGTGCCACACCAGGACTCCCAGAGATAGGGTAGGGAGACACATTTCAAAGACCATGCTCTCTTCATAGAGGAATGAGCTAAACTTGCATTTACCAGCTACCTGTTATGAGCTAAGTCCTCCTCTAATTCTTCCTTAATGTCTATGGGGAAGGAATGATAGTGCCCATTTTTTGGATAAGGAAACAAACTCAGAAGGTGGAAGGGGCACTTTGCAAAGACCACAGTCTCTTTATGGAGGAGTAAGGGAAACTGGCATTCTCTGAGCTCCTAGTCTGTGCCAGGCATGCCTTTTCTCATTTAATTCTCCCTTCATCACTATGGATAAGGAATGATAATGCTCCTTTTATTGGATAAAGAAAGTGAAGCTTTGAGAGTGACTCGACACTTTCCAAAGGCCACAACCTCTTCATGGAAGACTGAGGGATACTTGCATTTACTGAGCACCTACTACATGCCAAGCACACATGATCTCATTTCCCTCTCCTGTAATTTCTAGGAATGAGGAAACCGGGACCCAGAGAGCGCATGTCACCCTTGTAAGTAAGAGAGCTGGAAGGCCAGGAGCCCAGGGTTGTGTAACATCTGGGAACTTTCTTCCACCTCCCATTTCCTTGCCTCCTTCTCCCCAAAGGAAGCCACACTCACTCCTGACAGTTGCTGTTGTAACTGAAGACACATTTCTGAAGGCTGTCCAAGGTCATGAGGCTGACATGCTGGAACATGTCCAGCGAGACCACTTTGCCTTCTGCCTGGCGCTGCCATTTGGCCTGGAAGAGACACGTCATGGAGAACAGGTGACTGTGAGGCAGCCGATAATGATCCCGCCACCTCCCTATGACAAGATCACTTTAAAGATCAAGGATGTGAGGCTTTGTGGTCTCACACGGGACTCACATGCATAATGTCTGTGCACTGGTTGAAGATCTTCATGTAGGGCTTCAGGATGTCAAAGTGGAAGGCAGGGGTCAGCAGGCGACGGTGGCGGCTCCACTTGTCCCCTTTGCTGAGCAGCAATCCATCCCCTGGAGCCAGAGGACCGAGGTCAGGGGCTCCCTTATGTCTCAGAAACCCTCCAAGGAAGTCCATGGTCTGCTCCCTCTTCTCTGAAGCCCCAGCCCATCTAGTCCTCACTCACCCAGCCATGGTTTCAGGAAGCCATAGAAAAGGTCATCCTTGGGAGCAATGGCCGCTGTTGAAAGGGAGGAGGCAATGATTCAAATCAGGGGTCCGACTTGACCTCCACTTATTACCTCTTTTGGCCTCCCACTTCACCCCTCCAGATCCTTCTAACACACTGATTTGATCATGAGTCACCCCCCATGGCTCCCCTTGGCCATTTTAAAGACGTTCCAGCTCAGCCTAGAAATAAAAACCGTGCCTCAGCAATGAAGAAATGGACTGAGTTCAACCACATTCCATAGACTCCCGTTGACCTTGAAATGAGAGAGAGGAGAAGGGCTAGTTGGTCCAAAATGTGGTGAGACCTGGGGACACCTGAGCCCACGGACAAGGATATAGTCACAGAGGGCTACAGCTGAGAGTGAAGTATATATATATATACTATGTATATGTAAATATATTTATATATAGTAAATATATATTTACATATATATGAAGTATTATGTGTATATAAATACATATATATATATATATATATAAAGGAGCTCTGGTAGCGTAGTGGTTACGAATCGGGCTGCGAACCTTAAGGTCAGCGGTTCGAAACTACCAGCTGCTCCGCGGGAGAAAGATGAGGCTTTCTACTCCCGTAAAGATTTACACCCTTGGAAACCCTGTACAGGGTCACTATGGGTCGGAACCGACTCGATGGCACATAACATAACATATATATATATATAAAATGAGGGCAAATTGCTACAATTTGATAGTTGACATAGACACAAGGAGCTCAAAATTCCAACAGAGAGGGAAGGAGTCTTCACATCAAGTATCAGTACTATACCCTCTATATACAAGGTAGATAGGGACGGGCAACTTAGACATTGGCTACATAAAATGATCTTCATTAGTAAATGTTTTAAGATCAAAGACCATAGCCTTCGGTATGCATTATATCTCAATGAAAAAAAAACAAAAATTCTCACCACTGGACCAATAAACAACATTATCAACGGAGAAAAGATTGAGGTTGTCAAGGACTTCATTCTTCTTGGATCAACTATCAACACTCACGGAAGCAGCAGTCAAGAAATCAAACGAATAAATAAGGGGGAACCTGATGCAGACCGTGCAGACCAGGTCAGGAGGTCAAGACCCTGTGGGCCCAAGCGTTGTTGACCGTCCAAACCATAGGCTCTGAGGATCAGACTTTAGCCACCTAGTAGACATAGCAAACTCTCCCTCATCTGATTATTCAGTAATGCTTGTTAGTAATCTCATACATGGGCCCTGGATATCCACAGACAAATGTAAAAACCTTCCCTAAAAGCCGAGACTGTAAATTCCAAAAAGGCAAGTCTCCCCCACCACCACCACCCCCCCCAAAAAAAAAAAAAAAAAAGCTAAAGAGGATAGAGAGAAACACTGTTAACTGATGATATATGGCGGGATAATAATCAATGTAATGAAACAAGCTATATGAATGGTTGAATGTGAAGCTGATGATGTGCCCTGTAAACTTTCACTCAATCCAAAATAAAAACATTTAATTAAAAAAAAAGAAAGAAAGAAATCAAACGATGTATTGCATTAGGCAAATCTGCTGCACAAGACCTTTTTAAAGTGTTGAAGAGCAAAGATGTCAGCTTGACCCAAGCCATGGTATTTTCAGTAACCTCATATGCATGCGAAAGCTGAATAGTGAATAAGGAAGACCATAGAAGAAATGATGCTTTTGAGTTATGGTGTTGGAGGAGAATATTGAAAGTGACATGGGCTGCCAAAAGAACCAATAGATCTGTTTTGGAAGAAGTGCAGCCAGAGTGCTCCTTGGAGACCAAGATAGCCAATCTTCATCTCTCATACTTCAGACATATTGTCAGGAAGGACCAGTACTGGAGAAGGATATTATGTTTGGTAAGGTGGAGGGTAAGAGGAAAAGAGGAAGACCCCCAACGAGATGGATTGGCCAAGTGGCAGCATCAGTGGACTCAAGCGTGGCAACAGTAGTGAGGGTGGCCCAGGATCGGGTTTCGTTCTGCTGTGCATAAGGTCGCTATGGGTAGATACCAACTCGATGGCACCTAACAACAACAACAACCTAAAATGAGGGGGCAATAAGAGCACGAAGTGACTGACTTCCAAGGTTTCAAGAGGGAGTTTAGTTTAAGAGTGTGTGAGGGAAGGTAGAGTCCCCACTGAATAGTTTTTATCTTGTCTAGATGGGTCTGGTGAAAAGAGATGGGGATAAGATCTTTATGACACAATAGTAAGTAATTATTATCATGACTAATTAACACTGTCACAGTTGTAAAGGTAGAAGTTTTGTAAGAAAAACAGGGGAGTGGTTAATTTTACAGTCCAAAAACAGGACCCTAGGACCATCAAAGGAGAAGAGCACGAGTGGAATGTGGAACCTTATCTAGAGAAGCAGCAACACTAAAGATGGAGGCAGAGGGGGGTCATGGAGAGAGGGAGCAGCTGAGGACTCTAGATTCATAGGAAGAGAGGGACTGAGAGCTGGCGGCCAGGAGCAGACTTTCAGAATGTGCCCTTTGGTTGTGCAAATTATTATATATGCCTGCGTGTTCAAAAAGAAAAAGAAAAGAGCTAAAACGAATAGTGAGAAATACTGTTAACTGATGGTACAAGAAGGGGGTTATAATCATTGTAATAAAACAAAGTATATGAATTGTTGAATGTAAAACTGATGATCTGCCCTGTAAACTTTTGCTCAGATCACAATAAAAACAAAAAAAAAGAACCCAAAACCTGCCTCAACTAACCCATGTCTGCCTCCCCATCAAATCCGTCAGCACACACCAGACAACTCCATTTTGTGGTGTGTATCACTTCCAAACCTTTGCCGAGACTGTGGTCTTCCATCCCTCTGCCTCTCTCATTTGCATCATGCCTCCTATGCTCCCAGCTTCCTACCTCACCCTCTCCAGGCTGTCTTTCACGCTGAGAATCTTAGCGGACTCTCAGATGTGGCCATGTCCCTCCCTGCTCAAATGCCCTCCATAGCTCCCTCTTACCCTCAACACCAGCTTCTCAGCTCATTTTTCAAAGCCCTGGATGATCTGCCCTGTCCAGATTTCTCTCAAGACGCCTCTGTCTGCCACTCCACTCACACTTGACATTCTAATATCACAAAGCTTTTCTCAGCTCCTCAAAAAAGTCATGTTCTCTTTCTGATCTGATATTTCCCACCAGCTGCTGTCCTACATCAAACACATTTTTCCCTCCTCCTCTGATCTCGACTTGGGTGCTGCCCCCCTCTCCCAGCATTCACTCAAAAAAAAAAAAAAAAAATACACCGAGTTATAAGCTACTTGAGAGTAGGGACCATATTGATCATTTCTATATTGGTGCTAAATAGCTCTTTATTGAATAAAAGAATAAATCCATCAATCAGATAACAGATGAATGAAAGAAAGGAAAGATGGCTGGATAGTGGAGTAAATGAAGAGATGGATAGATGGATGAAGAGATGGATGGATGGATGAGTGAATTCTCCTTCTATGCACTGAACAGACTTAGGAGATTGGGCAGGGACCTAGGGAGGAAATACCTGAAACTCAGGTGATGATGCTTTTCCCTGTGATGTTACTCAACCATCCCTACACACACTCCCAGGAATTGATCAACTAGACTCAATCATATGGCCACTCCTTGCACCATTCAACACACCTCTTCTGCCACCCTTCTGCACCTGAACCTTCCTGGGAGATGCTGGGCTCCCAGATTACTCATTTCCAGGCCCTGCCTTTGACAAGCTCCCAGTTGGGATGGGAAAGAGAAGCAGAGACGCAGCACTATGTAATTATCAAGAAAACGAAAGTGTGCCAGATGCTATGGGAGGTACAGGGAAACGGAGTGCTGAACATCAGGGCCGGCTTCTTGGAAGAGGTGATATTGAGAGGACAGTGAGAATCCATCACTCTTCTCCTCCCTGGATACTGTACTCCATCCAGCAGAGGCCCGTCCAAGTTCTGAGCTGACAGTGATTTCCCTGCTCAAACACCTACCATGGCTCCCCATTACCTACTTTTTTTTAATCTTTATTTTGGATTAAAAAACAACAACAACAACTAAATCCATTGCCATTTATTCTGACTCATGGTGACCCCTCTGATAGGTGGGGACATAAAATGGCAGAGTGGTAACATGCCCAAGTTAATGGAGGGTTGGGATTTGAACCTAGATCTGCTGGCCCAGAGTCGAAGCCCTCAACTGTAGTGAAATACAGCTGTACAATCGCTGCTACAATTCTATGTGAGGAATTGTTTTACATAATCTCCTCCAAGGAAGATGTTACAATCCTCCTACTTTTACTCAGGGGGACACAGTTGGGACAGGCAACCTGGACAGAGATGCCTGCATCAAGTTGTCAGGGCTGAAGTAGAGGAGAGATCTAGGGCTGGGAGAGCTGGTGTTCAGCTGAGGAGGCATCAGTGAAATGGGCCTCAGAGGATTTGTAGGAGTTTGTCAGGTAAGGAGAGCAAGTGCAGAGGCATGTGAAAATACCAGGGGAATTCAAGTGACCTGGGGTAGCTGCAAGGTCCCTGGGTGGTACAAATGGTTATGCTCAACTACTAGGCTAAAGGTTAGTGGTTCAAACCCACCTAACAGTGCTTTGGAAGAAAAGTCTGGTGATCTGCTTCTGTAAACATGACAGCCAAGAAAACTCTATGGAGTAGTTCTCTGTAACCCATGGATCACCACTGGGTATTTCAGTTAGAGCAATGTGTGTGAAGAGAGGCGGGGAGGGAAGCACGTACATCTCTGCTGTAAAGAGCTTGTCCTGACTCACAGCTCCACCCTCCTTTCCTGGGTTTCTCCATCTTGCTCCTGTGGGAGGGAGAGGCAGTGAGAGGGAGAGGCCTATCCTGGGGGCGGAGATGAAGTTTCCTGGGCATCTAAGTGTTAGGCCCATAATAGGGGAGCCGGGGTAATGGACTTCCTGTCTCCTTGGAGTCCCACACTGTGCAAAATGGTGCTCAGGAGACTGATGCTCAAAGAAGGCAGAGGAGGAGGGAAAGAAAAAAAGGTAAGCCAGTTGCTGTCAAGTCCATTTCCCTGTGTGTCCCAGGGGAGCATAGGGTTGTCAACGGCCGATGTTTCAGAAGCAGATCACCAAATCTTTCTTCCAAGCTACTTTGGGGTGGACTAATACGTGTCTGGCACAAAGTACCACCAACAAAATAAGTTGCCGTCGAGCTGACCCCAACTCATGATGATCCATGTGTCAGAGTAGAACTGTGCTCCACAGGGTTTACAATGGTTATGACCTTTGAGCAGCAGATCACCAGGCCTTTTCTTCCCAGGCACCTCCATGGAGGGATTCCAAAACCAGGCCATTTGTCAAGAAGAGAACAGACACAAGTGGAAGGTCTGTGTTTGTAGAAACCAAATCAAAAGTCAGAGATCCTAATTCCGGGAGCTCATTCTTCCCCGTTCCTCCCCTCTTCAATGCCCCACAATGCCTCTAGTGATGGGAAAGGTAAAGTCAGATGTAGACATACGCAGTCCTAAAGGGTAAGGACTGAGAATGAGAAAACTCAGAAGTGGAATGATAATCTTGGAAAAGCTGGGGTCCTTCCAGCTGGGTGCTAAAGATTGAAGTTGCCAAGCACAACGGCAGACACGTGTCTTGGAATGGGTGTGGGCTGCAGAAGGGAGATGCTATCCTTCCACACCTCCCTCCCCATTAGCCAGGGTCAGCCCAGATGATGAAAGAAGGCTTCAGGCTGGGCAGTGTCAGAATTCAAATGATGGAAGTGTCATGGCTTAGGATGGAACAACACCCATTTAAAATCCTAAGCAAATAATGGTCTTTTCAGTCATGTTTCACTCAGATTCACAAGCCAGTGAGCATCCTCTCAAAGTTTCTGGACCTCGTAGACATTGTCACCCCTCTGTTTATGTTGTTCCCAACATATGGACTGCCATCCCTGTTTTATGAACTCCTAATACATCAAAGCCCTTCCTCTCGATACCTCCCCCTGCCTAGAGGCCCAGTGGGCTCTGGGAGCTGAGGGTTCATGCATCACTGGGGACCCGGTGGGCCTACCTGAGGCACCGAGCAGAGGCTTGATATAGTCAGGATGTACCAGTACTAGGAGTGGCAGGACAGGTCCAATCCACACAAGGATCACATGGTGCATGTGGTTCAGCACCTTTGACTCATCTCGAAGTCCTGTCTCATTCGGAAGGTACTGTGGAGGGAGAAAAGGACAGTGAGTGAGACTGATTCCTCCCACGGGACCACCAGGTACCAAGTTTTGCCCATTTGTACCCAAATAATCTCCTTCATGTCTTCCATCCCTCTCCCCAGCTCAGGCCTCAAACTCCTCCTTCCCTGATGAATCATGGTTTACCCTCCTCCCTGGGCACCCATCTCCATTCTCAGCCCCTCATACTGGCCCCAGAGGGATTCCTGAATCAGACCATGTTCCTCTCTGTTCACACACCCTCCGTGGCTCCCCACTGCCATGCAGAGGAAATCGCAGCTCCTTACTTTGGCCTTCAAGGACCTTTAGACCCCAACCCCCAATACCTCACATGTTCCACCATTTCCCTTGAGTCTCTCGGAAAGAGTTCTTGCTCCAGGAACAAGACTCTGACTTCCCACTTCCATGGCTTTTGCTAAAATGGTGCCCGCTTCCCACAGTAGCCTCTGCTAGATAAAACTTTTCTACTCATTTTTCATGCCAATGCCCTTATTCCAGAAGGGCCACTACAGCTTTCAAAGAGTAATACCAGAGGCAGTGGCCAGGCCCTGGAAGGTTTGGGAACTTAACTTTGAACTGTGGACCCAACCCACCTTCTGAGACCATGAGATCAGGGTGAGACTACCTTCTCCTTTGGGAGAGGACAAGCTCGGAGCTAGCTGAGCCTGAGAGAGAAGTCTGACAGTTTACTCAAGATCACACAACTGGGATGAGCCAACACTGACTCTAAAGACTTGTGGCTTGTCCCAGCTGTGTGACTGTGAGTAAACTGCTTGCCCTCTCTGAACCTTAGTCTCATACCTTCTAAAAAGAGTCTGCTCCTGGCCCTAACCAGAGTTCTCTATTGTGGTTCAGAAAGCAAGCAGGCCTATCATCAGCCTCACTGGCTACCTGAGACCTGCCTAGCCCACCTGCCCACACTCACCATGCCCAGGTGGCCCAGCAGCCAGTTGCGCTTTGGGGGCTGAGGGAAGCAGCGCAGGCGCCGGCAGGTGATGTAGAAGCGCCAGCAAAGCTGTAGGAACTGCAACAGTAGACGGAAGAGGAAGAAGAGCAGGAAGAGGAGAATCATGGACACAGCATAGAGGCGGAACGTCGTCTTCTTAAGCCCCAGCAGGTACAGCAGGTGGTCCGTAATGGGCAGCATTCTAAGGGTTATAAGGGGGGGGGGGGGGGGGGGATCAGTGCTGGTGGGACAATCCTGTGTCATGGAAACAGTGACTCATGTGATCAAGCACACAGAAGGTTCTCATGGGAGTCCCAAATGCTAGGATACATCTCCTACCCCAGATGTTATGTGTGACCATCAGCCTTAACCTCTCTACCTGAGAGCTTGCTCTACCTGCACATCGCTGGCCAGGAGTGCTGGGAAATTAAGAACCTCCTCAAGGAGCAACTCTCAGCCAGTGATTGATGAAGCTGGTGGATAAATCCCTCAATTCCCTCTCCCCTTGGTGGGACCAGTTTGAGGTTTATGCTCTATCCTGACTCCTACGGCCCCCAGCAGGACTCAGCTCTAGCTGCCCACAGTAGAAACTTTGTCTCTTGTCTCATTTCCCAAATTAACTATTGGTGGTTGCTGTCAGGTACATTACAAGTCATGACAACCTCATGTGTGTCAGTGTAGAACTTGGCCCCAGCAGATTATCAACGGCTGATTTTTCAGAAGTAGATCACCAGGACTTTCTTCAGAGGCCCCTCTCCAGTTAGACTCAAACTACCAACCTTTTGGCCAGTAGCTGAGCACATGAACCATCAGCACCACCTGTTGTTGTTGCGTCAACTCTGATTCACAGTGAACGCACGCCATCCGAGGAGCACTGCGCTCCGTAGGGTTTTCAAGGCTGGGACCTTTCGGAAGCAGATTGACAGGACTTTCTTCTGAAGCACCTCTGGGTGGATTCAAACTGCCAACCTCTCAGCTAGGAGTGGAACACTGAACTGTGTGCACCTCCTAGGAACTCCTCCAAATGAACTACTTGTACTCATATCCTTGCGTTAGGATCTGCTCCTAGACATGCCAAAGGTGAGTGGTGAGTAGTAGTCATGAACCAGTGAGTGTCTACGGAACCCGCATAGCACACTGTGACCATGCTCAGGATGGGCAGAGGATCTTAAGTCATCTCGGCAGGGAGGTGCCATTATGCTCCCATTTTTCAGATGAGGAAGCTGAGCCTTAGCTCAGTTACTTCAACTCAAGGGAGACAGAGCTGGAAGAGACCCCCCTCAGCCAAGATCTAACACCTTCCAAGTCTCAGCCAGCCCCAAGGAGATTCCTGAAAATGGTTGGGTTCTGGTTTCAGATCCCCTCCCCATGCAGTCCTCCTAGCCAAGGGACCCTGTCTACACTCCCACTTCCTTGAACAACAGAACTGACAGGACATCTGCATTCCAGGACCTCACTTAAACCCTCAAGGACCACCCACTCCTGCCACGGTGCCCTGCAACTTGGGACCTTAAGCTCAGGCCACTGACTCTTCCACCAGCCAATGCCAAACCACAAAATAAATGATGTTTCTATTGACTGCATCCTGGGACAAGAGTTAGGTGGGGTCCTCATCAAGTTTAGACAGTCCAGTTGGGGTGGTCTGACTTCTACATTGTTGTCATTGCTGTTTTAAGTGCTGCCAAGGCAGTTCCGACTCCGAGCAACACTGTATAATGGCTAGTGGGTTTGAACTATCGACCCTATGTTGTTGTTAGGTGCCACCAAGTCAGTATCAGCTCATAACAACTTTATGAACAACAGAATGAAACACTGCCCAGTTCTGTGCCAACCTTACAATTGTTGCCATGCTTGAGCCCATTGATGCTGTCACTTTGCCAATCCATCTCGCTGGGGGTCTTCCTCTTTTTCTATGACCCTCTACCTTACCAAACATGATATCCTTCTCCAGCGACTGGTCCCACCTGACAATATGTCTGAAATGTGAGAGACGAAGTTTGGCCATCTTGGCCTCCAAGGAGCACTCTGGCTGCACTTCTTCCAACACAGATCTATTGGTTCTTTTGACAGCCCATGACACTTTCAATATTCTCCTCCAACACCATAACTCAAAAGCATCAATTATTCTACGGTCTTCCTTATTCACTGTCCAGCTTTTGTATGCATATGAGGTTATTGAAAACACCATGGCTTGGGTCAGGCGCACTTTAGTCCTCAAGCTGACATCTTTGCTCTTTACACTTTAAAAAGGTCTTGTGCAGCAGATTTGCTTAATTCAATGCGTCATTTGATTTACTGACTGCTGCTTCCATGAAGACTTCTAGTGTAGCAACATTCCCTTTGGGAGGCCTGGTCAGGGGTAACAGTGGGACTAGGTAACCTTCACCTCGGAAACACAAGGAACCCCAAATTGTAAATCCCAGGCAGGTGCTCTGAGCTAGGGACGCAGCAATCATGCCATGGTGCAACTGTGCAGCCTCTCACATGGGTAGCGCCATGTGACATGTTCCACAGATATTTGTTCTTTACCAATTTAATGATCTGTCTAAGGTAACTCTGGTGTTGCAATGGGTTAAACACTTGATGGCTAACTGAGAGGTCAGCAGTGCAAACCCACCAGCCACTCTGTGGCAGTCTGCTTTTGCTAACTATTTTTAGTCCTGGAAACCCTATGGGGCAGTTCTATGTATGGCCAATAGGAGTCAAAATTGCCTTGGTGACAACAGGTTTAGAGTTTTGTTTTGTTTTTAATAATTTGTCTTTGGAGGCCCTGAGTGGTGTAAATGGCTGATGCACAGGACTGCTAACCAAAAGACCAAAGGTTTGAATCCGCCCAGACGTGCCTCGGCAATCTACTTCCAAAAGCTTGTCTGTTGAAAACTTTTGGAGCACAGTTCCACTGACACATGAGAGAGTACCATAAGTCAGTCATCTCCATGGCAACTGGTTTGGTTAGGTTTGCTGTTTTTAACAATTCTCCCAAGCTATGCCAGGATAGCCAGTTACAGATAATGGAATCTTTCTCTAAATGTTTTCATATGTCAGAATCTTCCCACAAGGCTATATATGCATTTATTCAGCATTCAGTTGGTAAATATTTTTTGAGCCCTTCCTTTGTATTGATGGCTACCTGAATGGCACAAACAATTTGCACTTCACTATGTGGCGCTGTGAGTTAATGCGCCAGACTGCTGTTTGAACTGTAAGGTCGGCAGTTCAAGCTCACCAGCTGCTCCTCGGAAACCCTATACAGGGTCACTGTGGTAGGGAACCGAGTCGACAGCACTTCACAACAACAACAACAATTAGGTTGATAGTTCAAATCCATCCAGCAGTACCATGGGAAAAAGGCCGGGTGATGTTTTCATAAGATTACAACCAAAGTTCTATGGGACAGTCCCACTCTGCACACATGAAGTCACCATGAGCTGGAATCAACTAGATGGCAAAGGTTTGGTCCTATGTGTCAGACACTGTTCCAGGCTTTGTTTGGGGTGTAGTGTAAGGCCTAGTCCCTGCCCGAGTGGGGGAAACCACCAAAAAAGATATGACATAACATAAAAGTGTTGTGAAGGAGGGAAAGTAGGGTAGAGTAGGTTGAATAATGAACCCCTAAAATACCAAGTCCTAATTCCTGGATCCTGCAGGTGTTACCTTATATGGCAAAGTCTTTGCAGAAGTGATTAAGTTGAGGCTCTTGAGATACTGGGGAGATGATCCTGGATTGCACTTTGAGCCCCAAATGCAATCACAAGTGTCTTTATGAGATGGAGACTGGACACAGACACAGAGGAGAAGGCAAAGTGACTAGGGAGGTTGGAATGATGAAGCTAACCACACAGGAACACCTGGAACCACCAAAAACTGGAAAAAGCCAGGAAGGATCCTCCTGTTGAGTCTTCCGAGGGAATGTGGCACTGCTGATAACTTGGTCCTGTGCAAGTAATGTTGGACTTCCGGTCTCCAGAACTGTGAAAGAATCAAAGCATGTTGTTTTACAATTCAGCATTCATTCCTGTTACAGCCCCACAGGAAATTGATACAGAGTACCAATAGTCATTATTTTAGTGGTCCAGGAGAACCTCTAGGGAATATATGGGCAGTTGAGAGAAGTAAGGAACCTAAATGAGGGGCACTTTCTTATTAAATGCATGCACACAGGTACACACTCTCACTGACACCTGCATGTACTCACATGTACACATAATCATACATGCACACAAGTACACACTCTCACTGATGCATGCATGCACTCACATGCACACATACTCATACATACACATGCATACATGCACACAGGTACACACTCTCACTGACACCTGCATGCACTCACACGCACACATACTCATACATACACATGCATACATGCACACAGGTACACACTTTCACTGACGCATGCATGCACTCACACACACACATACACATGCATACATGCACACAGGTACACACTCTCACTGACACCTGCATGCACTCACATGTACACATAATCATACATGCACACAAGTACACACTCTCACTGATGCATGCACAGCCACACCCACATATTCATACATGCGCATGCATACATGCACACAGGTATACACTCTCACTAACACATGCATGCACTCACATGCACACACACTAACACTGACACATGCATACATGCACACACACCACAAGCAGCTGGATTCTAATTTTGACCCCTGCAGAGACTGGCTGTGTGGTCTGGGTCTCAGCTTCCCCATATGATTTCAGGGCTCCATGTGACCCACTGGGAGTCACCATCTTGGCAGGTTCAAAACCCTCAGAGAAAGAGTCAGCATGCTTAAGCAACATGGAGACACGTGCAATGTCCCATTCCCCTGAGGTCTGGCTCCCATCCCAGTGGCCGCAGCCACCTTCTTCCAGCCCTGGTGTTCCTGTTCAAACACACTCCGTGGCTCCCCAGTCCCCTCAGTCTTGTGTGATCTGATGTGACCATCCCCACTCCTTCTCTATCTGGATCTGTCTTCTTGGTCTGCTCTAAAGACCTGCATTCTTCACCCCCTGACCTTCAGACTCAGCATGCCTCAAACAAAATCTACACCAAAGCTGCCGTTCCCATCACCTCCTCTCTCCCTCGTTTCTCCCATATCTTATCTGTTTCCAGGTTCTACCAGTCTCCTATCTTAAATCCATTCTTCTCCAATCTCATCAACACATTCCTCTTCAAGTAACCTCCT